TCAAGCCTTCATTTATCGTATCCAGACATCAGACATTGGCTGCTCTGTCTGGATCATCATCATCATTATTATTTCTATTATTATTATTATTTCAGCTGTCCTTTCTCATAACTCCTAGTCGTATTATTTTTCTTTTTCCTCTTCCCCTTCCTGCTGCTCCTCCTCCTCCTCCTGCTCCTCCTCTTTCTCCTTCTCCCTTCTTTTGCTGGTCCTGGGGCTTGAATTCAGGGCCTGGGTGCTGTCCCTGAACCTCTCTGTGCTCAAGGCTAGCGCTCTACCACTTGAGCCACAGTGCTACTTCTGAGTAGTTTATTCAAGATAAGAGTCTCACTGTCTTTTCTGCTTGGGTTGGCTTCAAACTGCATTCCTCAGATCCCAGCCTCCTGTGTAGATAGGATCACAGGCATGGACCACCAGTGCCAAGCCTAATCATACTTTTTATACCTGATTCAAGTATCTTTTCCTTTCTTTAACTCTTGAGTAGTTGGTTGTTTGTTTTTTAGTTTGTCTCTGAATATTGCTTACATCGTATTACATTATAGTATCTACTTCTATTACATTGTATATCTATTTCTATTATGTTGCATACAACTATTTCTTAGTAGGTCCTGTGTGACTTGAGGGAAAGAACTTAACTTGCATGTGTCCCAATACTTATTTGCTGGTGTGTGTGTGTCTATCTATCTATCTATGTATCTATGTATCTATCTGTCTATATTTACCTAATGATGTTTGGGTCAGTGATGAATCACATGTAAAAATAGTAGGCATGTAAGATTATATGCCCTACATTTGAGTGCATGGCTGTAGCCCCAGCTTTGCTAGCTTTGTTTGTGTAAATATATTTTATGATGTAAATATATTTTTTGCAATGAGAAAATTGTCTAATGATGAATTTTTCAGAGTATGTACCCATTAATTAAGTAGAATATGACTATTAAAGATGATGGGATTAAAAAATAGTTTTAAATTAGGTTTGCAGAGTGAATGTCCTTGTGACATTGAAAAGCATGTGAAATTATTCTAATTTCACCTCATTTATAACTCTCTCTTCCCCCCTTTCTAAAACAATTTCAGTAGGTTTCAGTGTTCTTTTCAGACTTGAAAACAATATAGTTCAACTATAATTATGTTTATTCATCCTCCTTAGTCCATTCCCTCCCACTAATACCTACCCCAACTACAAGCCTGTTTTTGTTTCGCTCCAAAATCATGCTTTTTAAGTATAAATAATAAAAGTATGCTGGATATGGTGACCCATGCCTTTAGTTCTAGCTACTCAGAAGGCTGAGATCCCATGATCACAGTTGGAAACCAGGCCAGGAAGACAAAATCTGAAAGACTTTTATCCCCAAATAACCCAACAAAAAGCTAGAATTAGAAGAGAGGCTCAAGTGGTAGAGTTCTAGCCTTGTGTGAAAATAATAAAGATCATCTAAATGATACTTCTCAAGACTTTAAGAAATATCATGTTTAAAAAATTAGTGATGCCATCAATTCCTCAGTACCACATATACAAAAAAAATAAATTAATTAAAAGAAGAAAATCCATTTTAGCGGGGCTGGGAAGGTGGCTTAGTGGTAGAGCGCTTGCCTTGCATGCATGAGGCTCTAGGTTCGATTCCTCAGCATCACATAAGCAAAAAGAAAAAAAGCCGCAAGTGGCGCTGTGGCTCAAGTGGTAGAGCTAGCCTTGAGCTGAAGAGCTGGGGGACAGCGCCCAGGCCCAGAGTTCAGGCCCCACGACCAGACCCAAAAAAGAAAAGAAAAAAAAAAAAACCATTTTAGCCGAGTGCCGGTGGCTCACGCTGGTAATCCTAGCTACTCAGGAGGCTGAGATCTGAGGATCTCGGTTCAAAGCCAGCCCGGGCAGGAAAGTCCCTGAGACTCATCTCCAATAAACCACCAGAAAACCGGAAGTGGCGCTGTGGCTCAAACAGTAGAGTGCTCTCCTTGAGCTGAAGAGCTGAGGGACAGCGCCCAAGCCCAGAGTTCAAGCCCCATGACCGACCAAAAAAAAAAATTAGCGATGCCAGATCCAGGTGCTATGGCTTGTTCAATCCTAACTACTTGAGAGGCTGAGATTGGGAGAATCCCAGTTTCAGGCCAACCCAGGCCTCCCTCTCAATTGAGAGAAGCTGGCATGGTACACTCACCTGTCATTACAGCTATAACTGGGAAGCCCACAGTAGGCAGCTTGTAATCCAGGCAGATACTTGAACAGGAATTGAGGTGCACTCTCAAAAATAACCAGTGCAAAAATGACTGGAGGTCTGGCTCAGCAGTAAAGCACTTGTTAGCAAGCAGGAGGCCTTGAGTTCAAATGTTCATACCGCCACACACAAAAAACGTCGGACCAGTGTAACAACTGAAGTGTAGTAAGCAGGCTGTTACGCACAGCCTGAGATGAGGTTGGACTCATTGAGCTGTAAGTTCCAGGTGATGTCTTCTTGGTGTCGGGCTCAATCCACACGAACATAGTTAGGTCAGTTGTTAGATTCGTTGTGGTAATTTTCATAATTAGCAATAACATTTATTTAATAGTTCAATGATAACTATGCAAAAATATTAAATATTACCTACAGCTAATTATATATCAGACCAAAAGAATACACTCATAAAATGTTGAAAGCTGGATTAAGTTTTATGACATGATTTCTTTGCCAGTTGTGAAGCTCGAGTCTCACACTTTCCCTTGGTTTATATGCTTAGAAGAGGTGCTCTGCCACTTGGGCTATACCTTCAGTGAGACTCTTTGCTGATTAATTAGAGATGAGAGTCTCAGAGTTGTCTGTCCGAACTGGCTTCCAACCTCAATCCTCAGATCTCAGCCTCCTGAGTACATAGGATTACAGGCGTGAGCCATCAGTGCCCTGCTTCTGTGAGGTTGTTGGGTTTTTTTTTTTTTTAATTGTTGTTTATCTGACTTTTTTCTTAATTTTACAAAATTTGTTAATTGTTACTATAGCTGGGTGCTAGTGGCTCATGCTGTAATCCTACCTACTCAGAAGGCTGAGATCTGAGGATCACAGTTAGAAGCCAGCCCAGGCTTGAAAGTCCCTGAGATTCTTATCTCCAATTAGCCTCCAGAAAACCTGAAGTGCTGCTGTGGCTCAAAGTGATAGAGCACTAGACTTGAGCAAAAAAGCTCAGGGACAAGCGCATAGACCCTGAGTTCGCCCCACAACTAATTTTTTTAAATTGTTATTATAAAGGTAATATACAGAAGAGTGTCGGTTTCCTTTTCAGTAATTCCATGGTATATCTTAGGTGTAAGTGTTTAGAAATATTCCAAGCTAATTAGACAATTAGCAAAGAACTGACTTCCCAAAGAATAGAGTAGGTTTCATAGCTCTGATTGTTTATCCCAAGTTTTCCTTGGAGAAGGAATTGGGCACAGAAGCTGTGGCCTGAACTGTGTCTTTGGGGACCAGATGAGAAAGCAGTGGAAAGAGGCTGGAAATAGCATGACCAGGTGGGAAGGGGTCTTGCCACTTGTGCAATAAGGCCAACATGACTGCCGCAAGACCAACCAGGGGAGCGCTTGATAGACAAGGCTGAACAGAGGAGCCAAGTTTTAAGGCAATGGGAAGCCATTTTGAAGGAGAGGAATGAGAGAATTTACATTTTGTAAAGATAATTCTGGCTGCTTACTATGAGAAGATTGGAACTTAAAGCCTGAAAATGAGACCTGAAGGGTAGTTTTAAGAGTTTGTGCGGGGCTGGGAAGGTGGCTCAGTGGTAGAGCGCTTGCCTCGAATGCATGAGGCCCTGGGTTTGATTCCTCAGTACCACATAACCAGGAAAAAAAAAAAAAGCTGGAAGTGGTGCCATGGCTCAAAGGGTAGAGTGCTAGCCTTGAGCTGAAGAGCTGAGGGACAGCGCCCAGGCCAAGTTCAGGCCCCAAGACCAACAACAACAAAAAAAAAAAAGCAAAGAGTTTGTGGACACCAGGCACCAATAGCTCACACCTATAATCCAAGCTACTCAGAAGGCTGAGATCTGAGGATTGCAGTTCAAAGATAGCTCAGGCAGAAAAAGTCCATGGAGATTTTTATCTCCAATTAAACACCAGAAAACGGGAAGCAGTACTGTGGCTCCGAGTGGTAGAGGGCTAGCCTTGAGTAAAAAAGCTCAGACAGCTCCCAGGCCCTGAGTTCAAGCCCCATGACCAACAAAAAAAAAAGTTTGTGGAGAGATCCAAGTTGCTTGGCAGGGAGCAATGTAGCCAGAGAGAAAGGGTGGTTTGAGCATTATTATTATTATTATTATTATTTTGGGGTCCAGTCGTGGGGCCTGAACTCTGGGCCTGGGCGCTGTCCCTCAGCTCTTCAGCTCAAGGCTAGCGCTCTACCACTTGAGCCACAGCACCACTTCCGGCTTTTTTCTTTTTGCTTATGTGGTGCTGAAGAATCGAACCCAGGGCCTCAGGCATGCAAGGCAAGCGCTCTACCACTGAGCCACCTTCCCAGCCCCTTGAGCATTATTTTGAAGGAAGAATCTATATGGCTTTATTCCAACAGCAGAATTATTCTTACTTAATGTCTCCCATTGTTTATGCTTTTCTGGTGTATGCTGTCCTCTTTAACTTCGCCTGTTTTGTCTGGGAAGCAAATTCCCATTTACCTTTCAAGTCCCATCTTCAAACCCATCACTGTTAGACTTCATTCAGTTACTGAGATACACAATTGGCTTGTTTATTCTTTATTAATTACTTTTTCAATTTTATCAGTTTGGCTATAGTCATATCTACACTAACCAGCATTTAAGTGAATGAGTGCCTATAAAGTATTCTTACTTCAGAATTTGAGCATGGCCTTAAAGAAGTGTTCCCAGGAATTTTCCATTGTTAAACATAATAACTGAATTCGAAGTCTTCCGTCTGTGAGACCAGTGACACTCAAGTCTTCACATCACAAAGCCAGTTTGATTATTGAAAAGTGCTTCTTGTTTTGGTGTATTTTTGAGTTACCGTTGATATCTTTTTGTTTTCTACACAGGAATACTCTGAAGATAGTAACTCGGAACCAAATGTGGATTTGGAAAATCAGTACTACAATTCCAAAGCATTAAAAGAAGATGACCCAAAAGCAGCATTAAGCAGCTTCCAAAAGGTTTATATTTTTCCATTTAATTCTGTGTCTTAAAGGGTGTGTGTGCGTGTTTGTGTATGTGTATGTGTGTACCTGGGTGCTGGTAACTCACGCCTTTAATCCTAGCTACTCAGGAGGCTGAGATCTAAGGATCACAGTTCAAAGCCAGCCTAGGCAGAAAAGTCCATGAGACTCTTATCTCCAGTAAACCACCAGAAAACTGGAAATGGTGCTGTGGCTCAAGTGGGAGAGTGCTCACCTTGAGCTGAAGAGCTGAGGGATAGCACCCAGGCCCAGAGTTCAAGGCCTTCCCCCCCCCCAAAAAAAAAAATGTGTGTGTGTACCAGGACTTGAACTCAGGGTCTTGCACTTTTGCTCAGTCTTTTTCCTCAGTCTTTTGCCTCTTGAGCTATGTCTCCACTCTGGGATTTTTGAGGGTTAATTGGAGATGGATTCTTGAAGGCTTTTCCTGACCAGGCTGGCTTTGAAGTTTCATTCCCAGATCTCAACCTCTTGAGTACTTTGATTCTAGGCATCAGCCACCACTGCCTGGCTTGTCTTAAACTTTTTTAATGCATTATATCAAATGAAATCCAGAGTGATTATTCTCAGAAATGGGTTTGAATACATATTAATAATCTTAAAAAATGAGATTGCATTAAGTACCTCAAGCATATATTTAAAAGAGATTTGGAGCCAGGGACCAGTGGCTCATTCCTATAATCCTAGCTATTAAGGAGGCTGAGATATTAGAATCACAGTTCAAAGCCAACCCAAGCAGAAAAGTCCTGGAGATGCTTATCTTAAGCATGAAAAAGCCAGAAGTGTAGGCCTGCCTGGCGCCTGTAGCTTATGCCTGTAATCCTAGCTATTCAGGAGGCTGAGATCTGAGGATCACAGTTCAAAGCCAGCCCAGGCAGGAAAGTCCATGAGACTTATCTCCAATAAACCACTAGAAAACTGGAAGTGGCACTGTAGCTCAAGCAGTAGAGTGCTCACCTTGAGCAGAAGAGCACAGGGGCAGTGCCCAAGCCCAGAGTTCAAGCCCCATGACCGACTGAAAAA